TGTCATTGAAGATAAGCTCTTCAAAGGCATAAAGACCAGCATATTGTCTTAAAAAATAATTTAAATTTTGATTGACAATAAATATATGCATACCAAAAATAATCATATCTAAATGTATCTGTCAAAAATAATTAGCTTCTCTATATAACCGGCCTATGAGCCTTCAATTTGATACTATAGACTCTATAGAGCAAGGTAGATACTGAGATTTTAATGTATCAGCGAAGTGGAAACAGCGAGTCCCGAATCATATTGACCACCGGCGGCCCACACAAACTCCAAATGTTACAAACTCAAAACTGTGAGTCGCTAACAAAGTTTAGAACAAAAAAAAAAAGTATGTCGTATAAATAGTCGGAGTAAATAATACAATTTCAATAATTGAATTATTGAATTTGAAAATGTTTGGGTGCCGGTGGTTTTTCGGTTTCGCAGGAAATAACAGTTGATGGTCTCGCGTTACAAGTTGATGAAGTGCTCGCATTCACTATCTGCGCCATGAAATCAATGTGTAATGATCTGTGTGAAAGCACCAGGGCACTCCCCAGGGGTTGTTATTTTTATGTAGCATTTTTATAAATTTTCATTCTCCATCAAGGATTTAAACTCAAAGATTTTTTGTAGAATTCTGGAAACGGAAATATATTTTAACAACAAAAATGCAACAAACCATTAAATATAAACAAGTTTTTTCATAATATATAAGTACTAATAGTTTACCAGTAATAGGTTGTATAGGCAATGTACTATCTTTAATTTGTCTATTTAGTGTTTTCTCGGCGTTGCAGGTCATTCTGAATCAACTGAGACTAAATTTGGAAAAAGTATGTATATATGTATAATTGAGCCAATATTTGACCTTCCGCCGACGTTTTCTCAAAATCGGCTGAATCGATTCAAAAAGCTTAAGGCCATTACAGGAAACTGATAAGCATTCGCATTGGTTAATTTTTTGATACGATCGGCAGAGCCCTTACTTTAGAATTGGTAAAACAGCGTAAAATTTTTCATCCGCGTTTCAGCCAAAAGTCATGAATCAATATCAAAAATTCAATAACTACTCGAAAGATATGTTTCAAAAAGCTTAAGGCCATTACAGGAAACTGATAAGCATTCGCATTGGTTAATTTTTTGATACGATCGGCAGAGCCCTTACTTTAGAATTGGTAAAACAGCGTAAAATTTTTCATCCGCGTTTCAGCCAAAAGTCATGAATCAATATCAAAAATTCAATAACTACTCGAAAGATATGTTTTAAAAATTGCGTTAATCAGTTCTTGGCAAATATCGGGTGGGGCATTTTTTTGTAATTGATTTTTCGACTTCTTTAATGAATCTTTGTATGACGGTGGAGCATCAGATCTTAATGAATAAACTAAATTATTGCAGTCTTACAAAAATGGTTCAATTATAAAAATTAATTTAAATTCAAGCGAATCAGACGCAAATTTAGAAAATTCTTCGTGTATGTGTTAAATGTGTGTTTGTTTTTCAATAATTTATAATAAAAAAAATGTACAAAATTGAATAATGTGCATTAGTTTATAACATTATAGGTTGCCGTATAGTAACTCGAGGTGTACTAATGGATCACTCAGAAATTATTACATTGACTTCTTACTAATTAAGTCAATTATTTACACATGTCTGGAAGTTCATGCAACTTTTTTTCGAGGTAAGGTGACTATTCGTTCCGGTTTAACCAGGACAGTCCCGGATTTTTATCGTGTGTCCCGAGTTTTTCTAAAAGCAACATTTGTCCTAAGCTTTGATCTTTTGTCCCGGAATGTTCCGGGTTTTTGGGTTAGTATTGGTTTAAACTGAACTGTTGCAATTACTTTATAATAAAATTACAACTATTCATCAAATATATAAAAAAAATTATATAATGCAATATGTCATGATTTGGAGAATTTCCGAATGCAAACTTCGTGGGTGCTAAAACGACATCTGTCATTAAGAATTTCGAACTTACATTTTCAATTTTACGAAAATTAGCAAAAACTACGATAACGAACTTTTCGAACGTCTAGCACAAGTGTTTACTTTTACTAATAATAAGTTAAATATAAAGAATATTTAACAGAATTTTGTACGAGGCTTATAAACAAAAAATGTAGAGATAAAAATATACCACATGATCGAATGATAAAGTCCTACTAAAAATGTCTTATTTAAAAAAATTAATTAAAAGTAACTGATTTTTTGTGTATCCATAAATACAGTATATTTATTATTTTGAATCATATTTAAGTCATTTAACATGATGGCAATCCGATCTAATAATCACCTTATGACTGTATATAATGACCGAAAATTTGAACACAATGCATCAATGGAAAAATCACATTACACTGATTACATATAATGAATATTGATTTTTCATTTAACATGATGGCAATCCGATCTAATAATCACCTTATGACTGTATATAATGACCGAAAATTTGAACACAATGCATCAATGGAAAAATCACATTACACTGATTACATATAATGAATATTGATTTTTCTTCGCATCATTTATTGCTTCGAGTTTTTTAAAATAGCTAGATAATTCTAATTTTATATCATTTGTACAACATTTATATTTCGCAATATTTCTGCTTCGGTTGACAGTCGTACACACTGCGAGTGGAATGAATTAAAAAGACAATTTAAAAATATTCCCGAAGGACCAATATATGAACTGCTGGCAGATATAAAAACCCCATGAGCGCAATGCGCTAACATTTAAAGTGTATTTATCTCTTTAATAATATTTATATTAATTCTGTGTTTTTATATCGTTCCAAAATATTCCAGGAAAAAAATATGATTTTGTTTCGTGGAAATGTTTCTGCAATTGTTTGTATATAGATCAGATTAGTGATACATAGTAGGTAATATTTTTTGCAGCAGTTTGTAAAACAATAGAGATCAGAAATACTAAGTAGAGTAGGACAGGGCATAAAGGTCTAATTTGACTCTAAGCAAATATATTGTGAAAAACAAGTCAATTATATCACAACAAATATCACATATCGAACAAACCAATATTTGACTAAATTGAGTAAAGCTCCCAGTTAATTCAGAATTGTAGAAATGTGTTCTTTTTGCTGTTCTTCAAAAATTTGTCACCTTATTCTATTTACTCCATAGACGGTATAAAATAGGATGACCAGGGGCAAACAAGTCCAATGTCTTATTTTTACTTTTATAGGAATTTTACTGAATAATGACGACCTTGAAAGAAGTTAGATGATGGCAGTGTTCATTTCCCCCCTGTTGTTGTTATTGTTAAATATTGTTGTTAAAAAAATTCTTAACTTTAATTGTTTTTGAGATATCGGTGATGTACGATTTAACCCACGATTCATAAATACATACTATGGTATTTAAAATACTCTGCATTAACAGTTAATATAGTTATATAATAGTATTCTAAAATAGACTTTTAACCAAATTACTAAATTAATAGACGCATTTTAAGAAAATGTTTGCAAAAATATTTAAAAGTGTTGTTATAATATTTAGATTTTTATATCAAAATGCTTATGTAAAACAAAATTATTTTGATTTTAACTTTAAATTTCGATTTTAAAAAGTAAAATTCTAACCAATTTGCTGAAGAATAGTAATAAATAAACTTGGTATTCACCTTACGAGAAAAGGTTTACATAAAATATTCAGATGTTTGTTTAAATTATTTGAATGTTTATACTAAAATATTGATATTCAAAAATAATACAGAACCATCATCTTGTTTCATGAAAAGCATTATAGATTGATATTTTAATCAAATCGAAATATGGTATTCTTTGTGAGAATAAGTGTTTAAAGAATTATTAATATATGCAATTTGTATATAAAAATGTCTATGTTTAAAAATAAAGCAGAACTATAAATTTTGTAAAAGCAAAGTTTTATTAAGTGTTAATATTTTAGAGCGTAATATTTATGAGAAACAGAACTCATGTTAAATGCAATTATTTCAGAAATGTACCAAACACAGTTTCATAGTTTTTATATCCTAGATATTTTAAAATTTTCTTTACAATTATAGCCTTAAATCAAATATCTAATATTTCATCATATATAACAAAATTGCTTCAATCAAAATCCAAGTTAAATTTTTGACGAGGAATTTAACAAGTCTAGGTAAAGGTGAATATATTTCATAATCGCAGATAAATAGCAATAATTATGATTCACAGAAAATAGAATATTTTTGACTTGTAGCACATCGTTTACTTAATTAACTTGAAATCCAATCTTTAAACTTTCACTACTTATTACATATACGATATATCGTACTATATCAATTAGTTGAGGTAATATCAAGTATCATGTAGTATATCGAGTTTATAAATTAACTGCAATTTACATGAAGTTTCTGCAACTTAGCTAATATACAGTTTGAATTTTAGTAAATCTTATAAACAAAGTATGATAGATAGTATTGATAATATTCATATTTCTTAGTTGAATATACACTAAATTTTGAGCAAAGTTGAATTTCCGTTGCTTTCAAACAGAATATGAAAAATGATACATGCCTTTCACTCTATACAGAGTTAATGTTTCTGTAGAAAGTTATAAAACTTCCATTACTTCTGTACAAACGGCATTTCTAGAATCACAGCTACGAAAAAACGATATTTCAAATTTATTTGACATTGTTTTGTTTATCATTTTTTGCTTCGTCCCAGTTATTGCTCTTACCACATTGATCTGACTGACCTACTTCAAATTCGCTATCAGGTCATTTGGGAAACGAAATGAAATTATGAAAATTTATTACAAGTACCGAACACTACTATGGCTTAATTTAGTTAAATCGAATCGCTAATTTATTTATGATTTTGCTAAAATATCCAATGAAAATATCCATTAGAATAATACAAATTACACTAGTAAGTTCTATGATCTTGTAAAAACATAATTTTGAGTTATTTTGTTAGTTTCGACAATTTTGTATGTATTTATTATATTTTCTAATCGTATTATTTCTATTTACAGGATGAGAAGAACCAGTTATTGATCACGAACATATGGCTGAAACTCGTAAGTAGAAATTTTATTAGCTTTATATGGTAGATCGGGGCTAAAAGGTCAGCTGGTTAAATAGTCCACCATGATTATCACAAAACTAAATAAAATATAAATAAATATAATTATTTGATAATACTATTTTAAAGTAAAAAGCAAATAATGTGTAACCAGACACTACCTTAATTCTCACAACCTTGCTGTCAATATTCATACCAACAAACTTTTTTTTGTTGGTAGTTTTTTTTGGTTTTGAGCTCTCGTATATAATACATGATACCAGAATATTATTTTTAGGTATACATTAATTGTTTGGTAGTATTGTTATTTCTAGGTAAGATTCAAATTTTTTAACTCCCGTAGGGCAAGTTATAGTAATCGCAAAAAAATCGAAAATGAAATTTTTCATATATCTTTACGTTTCAAAGGTTTCTGAACATTTTGGCATACCTTAGAAAAAATGGATGTATGTGTGTGTGTGTGTGTGTATGTGTGTGTGTATGTATGTACGTGTGTGTATGTATGTGCGGATACAAATTTTCGTCGACGATTTCGGGAACACGGATCAACCGATTTGAATAATTCAAAAAACATTCGATTGGTATTGATAAGGAGACGTGCTGATTAGTTTTTGGCGAAGGCAGGTCTAGCCGTTCCGAAGATACGGGGCAAAAAGTGCCGAAAACGGTAACTCAGTTTTTAAAAGAACAGAGCGTCCGATTTAAATAATTCAAAAAACATTTCACTTGTATTGACAAGATGAAGAATCGATAAAATTTTCATTAAGGTAGGTCTAGCGGTTTCGGAGATATGGAGGAAAAAGTAAAAAAATTAGCCATTTGGCGGTCAAAAATGATCATTAGACATATGCACATCAAATTATCAGACATTTTATAGAGATTTTAACAATAAATATACATTTTGTTAACATTCCTATGGGTTCCGTACCAATGCTTATGCGTTAGACAGCGACGCGGCGCTTACGCGCTTCATATTTTGTCCCTATGCAGTTAAATCAGTAATCGTACTGATAGCTTTGAAAAAAAAGTTCAGATCTTCCACAATATGTCAAAATAAAGAAAAAAAATTTTTTTTTCAAAAAATAAAAATTAAAAAAAAATTTTTTTTCAAAAAAAAAAAAATTAAAAAAATTTTTTTTTTTTCAAAAAAAAGTAATTTTTTGTCCATATATATAGTTTCTCAAAAATCTTATTTTTTCAAAGTACATTTTTTTAAAAAATGTTAATCGATTTTAAAAAATTAATAATTTTTGGTACGGGAAGTTCCAGCAATTTGCCTTAAGGCACGATGCCTTAATTGCCTTAAGACAGAATTCCACTTACAGCTAGTTTATATAACCTAATAAAAGCTTACATGTGGGTGGAGTAAAAACGACCAACTAAATCTTTACTTTGACAAATGTGTAATTAATAAATAATAGTGATTAAAAAAAAATTGCAAAGAAATGAATTAAATTAACATTAAACTTTTTTGCAAGAAATGAATTAAATTAACAGTAGTTCGACCTCTGTTGATGAATATTTTTCAAAAAATACCAGATCGAGGTTATATACAAAAGATTCTTTGTAAAAAATGTTCTCATAATATTTGTATTTTATATTGGTCAAGTAATGTGGCTATTATTTTGTAAAATATTTTCTAAATAAAAAAAGACGTTGGATCTGTTTGTCTCCTGGTCGTCCTTTCTTAACCCGCCCATGGGGCAAAAAAGGACAAATGACAAATTTTAGAAAAACAGTATTAACACATTTTTATAATTAGAATTTAACTGAAATTTTCACAGAACATAGTTTGATAGTTGTTTTCTCATGCATGTTATTTCTTCATGCAGTTCATTAAGTTTAGACAGTATAATTACTGAGAGTAAAACCCTTGTGCACCGCCGTACCCTATATTATAAACGAAAAAAAATATTTGTGGATTTAATTATTCTATTTTCGACTATTAAGACAATGAAATTGATTGACATTTAATATATTGTTATATCTATATGCATCTGTATATCCAACTCTGGTTCCAAAATAAAATAAAAACATACATGTATCAAAAAAGAAAACTTTAGTTCAAAATTTTTAAATTTAAATTATTTGTTTTGTTATGATTTCTTACCTCGAGATTTTCAGCCTAGAACATTTCTTCGCAAATAGCACACTTTGTAGAATCACATTAATTTACGCCCAATTAGAATGAAAATATTTTTATTTTAATTTATGAAATAGTTTACGCGATTTGAGTAAACATTTTAGCTATTTTTATTTTAGAATACTACACTCACACTGGTTAATTAAATTTCAAAACATTTCACTCACTTTTTTATTGCACTAAAACCATTTTTGTTTGAACTGAAATAAATACAAGAGTTAGATAAATGTATAATGGTATGATCTGAGTAGTGATTGAATCATATTTTGTCTGTTTTCCTAACAATTTCTAAAATTTCACTCGAACTAAACTAGTCTGATATGCACCCTAAATAACAGACTAAATTGAATACAATCTGCAATAAAAATTGCAATTAAATCATAACATTGCACAACTCTAATTAATACGCTTTTTGAAACAAATAAAATAAAATCACATCGGTTTTTTCAGAGAGAATCATACTCATTAATAAAAAGCATGTTCGTAATATGAAATAATAACGTTTTATGCAATACTGAAAATTCTGTTGTACAATAAAATGAAGTAATTAAATAAATAGTAATATGCATATGTATGCATTTAATTTCAGATTTTCAAATATTAGAAAATAAATGTTATTAAATGTAGAATATAAAATTACATACATGTACAATCGATTTCACAAAATCAATGAAACTTAACTCCGTGATTAAAAATAACTTCTAGGCTTATTGTACAATAAAATATTATTTTTGGGTATTTGAGCATTTACATTACATGATTAGCCTCGTGATTTTTTTAAAAAAATTCCATTAGTATTTTAAATTTTAGTCAGATGATTGTGTGAATTCGACTGCCTGATCATACCATTAAATGCATGCTTAAAATTGCAAAACACTCACCATACGCCTACCAGGATCTGAACACTTTTCAAGACCACTTTTATCTTTGTTTATTTATGATCTGGACATTCGCCCTTTTATTCTGGAGTGAACACAAGTCAACAGACACATAAAATAACAAATATTTTTCTTAATTATACACACTCACTTTGCACTAAAACAATACTAGCACAAACACTAAAAAAGAATTACATTGGCACTAAAAATCGGATAAAATATTTTTTTTCAAAACGATCACTAAAATAAAAACCAGCGCAAATTATCAAAAATTCGATGAGGCATCTCCTGAAAAGAAAATTTTAAGAAATTAGACTATATATATATATATATATATATATATATATATATATATATATATATATATATATATATATAACAGGGACATTTTCGAATTTTTTTGCTCCCAAGGGCGCCAATGTTTTCAAATGAATAAAAAATGAATCTCTAATAGTATCAGCTCTTAATATAAACATTTAGATAGAGCGCACGCCAATTGAAAGTTTCTTATATTTGTTATTAACATACGTCATTAAGTAAATTCTTGCGCCATCTGTATAGTATTCGTGAACTTAAATATTATGACACATAAAAATATTTATAAACCACTTGACCTCTAAACACTTACAACCCTTACTTGTCATTAACAGTACAATAAAATGCACCACATTTTATGCAATATATGTGATTAGATATCTAGTTTTACAATTTTACAAAAAAATTAAAATACACACAATATATACAATCAAATGACATCATTTTTTTAAATGCAAAACCAGGAGATACTTTAATTTATAAAAAAGTATTTCAAGATTCACTTTAATTATCTTATTATTTTTGCAGAGAAAAACGTTTGATTAATTGGATAATGTTAAATCATTATAAAAGCTATGTCAATATAAAATTAAAGAATGAAATATCATCAATACTTGTTCAGCATTTAAGTAATTTTTAATAAAAATATTAAAAAGAATACATTAAAAATATTGAACCAATTGGTTGATTTATAGACATAAATGGGTGGATGTTGATTATCGATGTTACAAGTTCAGACCAATATCAATGTTTCACCATAACATGCAAATATTCTTGAATACAAATGATACACATTTTTCATTTTAATAATAGTGTTCCGCGATATATCTATTCCTTAGAATAATTGTACTTTGCAAATTATAATTTTACCAACATCAAGACCATTGATGTTAGTTTTAATTATTTCCCGTCTTTTGCAAAAGACATTTCAGCTCTGTCAGACTTAATTATTTTCAGCGCAAAACAGAGATTGTGTTAATGTAGCATAAAAATATCAGATCACTTAGTTCGGATTTTATTTTCGCAGAAGTCGAAATGCGGCGCAGTTGAAGTAAAACAAGTTTGAAATTAAATATCTAGATTGAGTGGGGTTAAAAAGTTTTGTACAACTTGTAAACCTTACGAAATTACTTAAAATAATTAGTATAAAAGTTGCTTGAATTGACATTCTGAGAATGAAATGTACGGGAATTCATTTCAAAATTTTGTGCGCTAGTTTGACATTGCAGCTTAGTAAGTTTGTTTTTAAGATTTCATATCTGAATGTTAAGAAGTTTTAGATGAATAAATCATTTCATCGCGGAAAGTACGTTTAAATAAAAAGTGTAATCCAATAATTGAAAAACTAAATGTTTCTTGCTGAAATAGATATAAAAATGAAGGATTTGTTAGCATAAAGTTATTCAAAAAACTTATATATATATATATATATATATATATATATATATATATATATATATATATATATATATATATATATATATATATATAATATGATACAGGGTAGAGCAGGGTTAAAAGTCCGTAAGCAAAAAGATCCATCGCCGATATCTCAAAAACAAGTAAATTTACGATTTTATTAATAAAAATATTTGAAAGTAGAGGGCGAAAGACGTATACCCAGCATTCACCTGAATTTAAGACGTTTCTATCAGGAGA